AGGACTGTGCATACACTAGGGCGTCCGTAGTGTAGGATAAGCACTGGAAAAAAGGTATCAAGAATAGAGAGTCTTGAGGAAATAGCCGGTGTATGGTTATAGAACGCCTGGGGGGTAAATTTACCACCCGCTTATGCACGCATTAGGTTAGAAATAGGGATAAACAACTTGTATCGGTGAAGTACAAGTCCTATGCAGCAAGCAGCAGCCAGCAGCAGCAGCAGCCGCCTGCAGCCAGCAGCCAGCAGCAACCACCAACCAGCAGCCAGCCAGCAGCACCACGCAGCAGCAGCGCAGCATCAAGCCGCAGCAGCAGCAGCACCACCGGCAGCAAGCAGCAAGCAGCAAGCAGCAGCAGCAGCAGCGGCGTCGTCAGCAACAGCAGCAGCAGCACAAAGCCGCAACAAGTAGCAAAGCAGCAGCTACAAAAGCGGCAACCAGCGGCAACAGCAAACAGCAGCAGCGAGCAGCAGAGCGGCAGCAGCAGCACCGTTTACACCAAGCCACCGTTTACACCCAACCAACCCCCTACACGGCGCGCAGCTGGGAGTCGAACCGTGGGGGGGGGGGGGGTGGTTAGCGTGATATATCAAGCTTTAAGGCACACAGCTCATCCCACTACCAATTGCTAAAGCAAAGAAGAACTCAGCTAGCATGCTAGCTTTCGTGATTTAATGAAATTGAACTGTACTGAGTTGAATTGAACTGAAATGAATTGAGTTGAACTGAGTTGAACTGAATTGAATGAAGGAAGGAATGGAGAAAGAAGGGAATGGAAAGGAAAGGAAATGAAGGGGAGCGGAATCGGAATCGGAATCGGGAGTGGAGTGGAGTGGAGTGTGGGTGAGCGAGCGTGCGTGCGATGGCCTCCAACTAGTAGCGATGGCATCCAACCTAGTAGCTTCTAATAATCCCTAGTGTGAGTGAGTGAGTGCGAGTGAGTGTGTGTGTGTGTGTGAGTGAGTGAGTGAGTGAGAGTGTGAGTGAGTGAGTGAGTGAGTGAGTGAGTGAGTGAGTGAGTGAGTGAGTGAGTGAGTGAGTGAGTGAGTGAGTG